GGCCACTGCACCCGCAGCATCCCTCTGACACGCCTTCCCCAGAGCCGCTGCTCCCAGGAACGCTGCCGGGTCCCTGTACCTGCAACACAGACGCGCTCGCCGGCCGCCAGCCCGGGACAGCCCGTCCCCACCCGAGCCAGCTGGTGGTGCCAGGCCCGGGCAGGGCTCACTCCATGTCTGCACTACCTCACTGCACCCTCACTCATTTTTACAAGAGGTATCCCAATCACAGCAGAGTCTATCGTTCAAATGTACGTGCGGGGAGCAGGTTGTCACTGCCTGCTCTGAAATAATGACAGTTCATCCTTACAGGAGCAGATAGGGCACTTCGTGGGGCTGCAGGACAGGGCTGGTCTGCCTCCACTTCAGCAGCCGCCCCAGCACTTCTTCTCCATCCCCTGTTGTCCTAAAGGTGCCTTTATCCATCCAGACCTCCATGGAGGACAGCGTCACTGTGAGATTAAGAGACCTGAACATCTGGAAGTTCAACAAGAGAAGTGGCTGCTCCAGTGTGTTTCATTTCAAGCAGTGTTTAAATGTTTGTTGCTACCAGCAGCTGCTGTTTCATGAAAACAGACGGGAGCAACTGGTGATTGCTTTGCACTTGTGTCATGAGTAAGGTATGGGAAATACACATTTAAAAGCACATTTAACTAATATCTTCTCAAAAATTAAGCAATTCCTACCAATACCTAGCTGCTAGTTGGCTGAAATAAGCCATCCAAATTTCCATGTCTGTACAAATAAACTGGGAAAAACTTACACTGCTGAGCAAGCTGAAAACCTCAAACATGGTCTGTGTCACAACTTCTTCATCTGCACCCAGGTAGTTGTACTGAAAAAGGACATGAGATTGCATCGAGCTTCCCTGCCACACTGAAGCACACGGGGTTATCAAGACCTTTCTCAGATGGGCTTGTGCCCCCAGACACAGGGACACAAGGCACAGACCATCCAGAGCCAGGCAGGACCAAGCACGTGGCCACAGCAAACTTTACCACAGCCTGAGCAAGGGCAGAGGAAATAAACACAGACCAGGAACCGACCGACCCAGACTCACCAAAGCGCTTTCCAGAATGACATGGAGTGCCATCTCTCGCTGGTATTTGGGCACTGGCTGGGAAATAAAAATTCCTCACTGTTAATAATCCACTACTCCGTTTCAGTCAGGAAGCATAAGAAATGCTGGCTTGTCTGAAGGACTGAGACACTAAATCCTCCACGAGCATCGCCATCTGCTGATCTTGTTGTCAGGGCAGAAAGCCAATGCCATGTATTAACACCCAGAGCAATGCTGAAGTTTTTTGCTAAGAACATTGGATCCTGGTTCAGATTAACATCAGAGTGCAGGGACACCCACATGAACCACATGGCCAGAGCAGCCAGCAACTCTCTGCAAATTGGAGGGAGAAATATCCCCACTTCTCCAAATCCACCAATAAATTTTGTACCCCTTGGTGATGCCTCTCGTAGGCACTTGATGAGCAACGATGCAGGTGACACCCCAGCACCAGCACTGGCCCTCCTGCACCACCACCTCTGTCTGCCCAGACCCTGGACAAAGCTTCCTGCAGGAGCAGACCCTCCTGGGCTGACAGGGACATCAGCACCACCACCACAACAGGCACCACTCACCTGCTCAGCCCCAGGAGCTTTCTTGGCCACCTCCTCCGGCACCAGGTCGCCCAGCCCCCGGGCAGTGGGGCCGTTGGCCAGCAGGGAACCTGCCACCTGCTTCTCACTCACTCGATACACAAAGTGCTCGAAGGCAGGAGAAGAAGCCCGGGGCTCGATCCCGTAGCTGACGTTCTCAAACTGCAGCAGGCCCCTGCAAGGCCACCAGACGGGACACGTGGCAGCGGCAGCCCAGGGCTGGGAGCGGGGCCCCGGGCTCCCCGCGGCACCAGGGGCCGGGCAGCGCGGGGGGCGGGGGGTTACCTGAGCCCCGAGCAGGTGCTGAGGGTCACGGCCGAGCTGGGGAAGCCCGCGATGTGCCCCTGGTAGTGGCAGCCTGCCTGCACCACGACAGAGCACCAGGAGCCCCTTTGGTGGCCGGGAAGGTGATCCCGGCAGGTCATGGCTCAACAAGGATTTTAAGGACAATCTCTCTTTGGCTTAAGTAATTAAAACCTTATTGTGATGCCCTCATGATAAGGAATCACCCTGCTCTGTGCCAAGCTGCACTGCTGGGTGCGGGGCCTCTTCCCCTGGTCTCTCCATGTGCTCAGGATTACAAGTTTTGAACCAAACAAACTTGGAAGAAAAAGTTTCACCCCAGCATCTTCTGTCACGATCAGGAAGCAAAAATGTGGAGAAAGAGGGAAAGCCTTTCTCCCCTGCAGGAACTAGTGACATTCCCCAAAATACTGGACAGCAAAGTTACCCTGGACCAATGCAAGAACGGAATCACCAAGCAGGTCACCCTTACCTTGACACGGGGCCAGTGAGAGTGCAAGGAGCCCTCCTCATCGTACGTGTAGATCCTGAAATCATCAGGTAAAAAGTACCTAGAATAGAAAAACAGTAAAATCCCCTGAAAATGCTCTGAAATTTTCTTACTCCATTTATTGAGCTTATCCAGGTCCTGCAGCCTGTGCTGGTGCACTGGCAGATCAGCCCCTGCTGGCACCAGGGGGGATCACCAGCCCCTGCTGGGAACAGGGCAGTGGTCAGAGGAGGCAACAGCAGGGCCAACTTACTGCTGCTGCAGGTGGATGGTGTACGGCTTCCCCTCGATCCTGAGGCCGTAGGACACCGTGTCCTTGTGTGTGAGAAAGGGAGAATCAGGAACAGACTTTGGAAAAGCGTCCTCTGAGGGCAACTGCAAACACCGAGGGCCAGGAGCAGAGCTCAGCAGAGCACGGCACCCCCAGCATCTCTGAAGCACACGCTTTGCTTCCTAGAACTGTGAGGGACAGTTCTAGTTCTCCCAGCCACAGCTTGGCAGTTGGACATCATGTTCCCATGCACGTATGAACACACACACACACACAGACACGATGTAATTTGATCACTTAAGTTACCGTCTCTCCAGCTCCTTTTGAGAGCAACTTCTGGGGAACTGTGACCTGCAGTACCATCTGGGAACCTAAAATCAGAATTTGTTTTGGTTACAGTCACAGGTTAGTATCACCACGGTTGTGCCCCTCAGCCACAGTCAGAATTGCAGATGCCTGGGACAGACACCTTTATAACCACGTGGACAGATGATGCCTCTACCTGGAATGTCCCACCAACTCTACTTTCTACCCTGCTATCATTCACCCACACTTCATTTTCAAGTACCTAGGTCCCTGCGCTTACATTTTGTGCACTGGGATGCATCAGGGCCCAGGAATATGAACACACTATGATGGGAGCAGGAGAGCAACCTCTAGTTGAACAAAGGGGTGCATCAGGAACAGAAATGGGGCTCAGAGAGGTCACTCGCCCCCCACACACCAACAACCACGCAAGAAACATTCACTCCAGAAGGAGCCACAGCACCAGTGATGTCCCCACACAACCAGTGACATCCCCACACCACCACTGGCGTTCCCACACCACCAGTGACAGTCCCACAGCAACAGTGACATCCCCACAGCACCAGTGATGTCCCCACAGCACCAGTGACATTCCCACAGCACCGGTGACATCCCCACAGCACCAGTGACATCCCCACAGCACCGGTGACGTCCCCACAGCACCGGTGACGTCCCCACACCACCAGTGACATCCCCACAGCACCAGTGACGTCCCCACACCACCGGTGACATCCCCACACCACCGGTGACATCCCCACAGCACCAGTGACATTCCCACAGCACCAGTGACATCCCCACAGCACCGGTGACGTCCCCACACCACCAGTGACATCCCCACAGCACCAGTGACGTCCCCACAGCACCAGTGACATTCCCACAGCACCAGTGACATCCCCACAGCACCGGTGACGTCCCCACACCACCAGTGACATCCCCACAGCACCGGTGATGTCCCCACGCTCAGCTGCCACGATCACACAGCTTCACAGGCTCCGCCGATGGGCAGAAACCGCGC